GTTTTGGTTTGGCTTTAGGAATCTTGAGTTGGATGTTTTGATGCTGAGGTAGTTGTTGGGCTTCTGTTGAGTGGTACAGGTGAGTCTTATCACCGTACTTGTGGGTCGAAGACACCAATGTCAACCAAATGGATTGTGTTATGTAGGGTGTTGGTTGTCTTTGTGACTCTTGCATGTATGATTGGGTTTAATTATACCCCAGGGATGGGGCCCCAGAGCTGGGCTCATAGTTGTATGTTTGGGTTGAACTAAACCCTAGGATTGGGCCCATGATTGTATGTTAGGTTGGAATATATCCCAAGGCTAGGCCTAATGATATGTATGGTATGTGGTATTTTGGGGAACTCACTAAGCTTGGTGCTTACGATTTTGTGGTTTAAGCATTTTTAGGTACTTCCAGTTTCAAAAGGAAGAGATCGGCTTGATCGCAGTGTATCCCGTGCAGATTTATTCTGCAATGATTTTTTATAATTTTACTCTGATGTTTTGAGAATACTTTTACTCTGATCGTCTTTGGGATAATGAATGAACCATTTTGAATTATTTGAAAAATGACAATTTTACTCGGTATTTTTGGGACGTTACACTCTCATAGATATGCCACCTTGGAATCAACTCCCTCCTCATCCAAATAACCCCAATTATCAACAACCACAACTACAAAACCAAAAATTCCACCAATACAATCGACCTTAAAAGAATGCTCTTCAAGTTCAACGACAACAATCACATCAACCACAACAACCCATTTACCAACAACCTCCAACGTACCAATACCCTATGTACCCACAACAAGAACCCCTACAGGAGCATTAGTACAGTTAAGATTTTGATTCTTCTTTAGTCCTGACTGTAACACCCATAAAAATCATGTCAAATTTAAACTTTTAAAAACATTTTAAATCTATTAACCATTACAAAACTTGTTTTCAAAATGTATCATATCAGAGTATCCCAGAAACAAAGACATAAAAAGTGAGGAGATGTACGATCATGCCTTTGCCTTGCCACGATCCCTTGATGTACCTGAAACAATAAACTGAAACTGTAAGCCCGAAAGCTTACTGAGGTTCCCCCAAAATACCCATACCCACAATAATACACATATAATCATAAACAACATACTATGGGTCCAATAATCTATCGGGATGGAATACCCCATGCCCTCAACCATTGGGTTGGAATGCCAACGTACAGATACACTTCACATAACACATATACAACTACAGCATGTACTGGGTCCACAGCTTTACATACTGGATTACCCCTGGGCCCACAGTGTGAGTCTGGATTGCCTTACGGGCCCACAACTTACATCTGGATTGCCATCGAGCCCACAGTACGAGTCTCCCTTAGCTCGTATCTAGAATGCTTCCGGGTTTGTTGGTTACCGCACGGAGCAGTTTCACCTCAACCCCATCCCACATAATAAGTCGACAAATAACAAAAATACTGCACATACAGATAATCACATAATACTACAGGTAGTCCTACAGATCTACCTAACTGGCATAACAACTAGCATGCAGACAGTCAAACCAACTATAGGTCACTAAGCATAACCACATCCGATCTACCATGATACCGATCTAACATATCATATGTAACATACACGTTTTGAAATCGTGTTTTAAGTAAATAATATTATGAAATATTATGTGATATTGAGTATTGAGTTCTAACAGATAGTTTTTACTAGAAATGTAGTAAAACTATGTTTAGAATCATTTGGAAAATATTGGAAGTCTTATAAGATTCCAATTAAAAGTTAAAATATCGAAATTTAATGAAAATATAAAAGTTGAAATAAGTAAAATTTTATTATTCAAAGTTGTAGATAATTTCATTAGAAGCATTTAGGTGAAAACCTCATCGAAATCCGAGTTATAACGAAGAAGTTATGACCAATCGAAGATCCACAACAAAACTGGCACGACACCAAATGATGTAAAAAATGAGTTTTTGATAAACTACTTTTTATCCTTGGTGATCTAAATTAAAGTCGTAGTATTTGTTAAACCGAGAACTTTCATAAAAAGAACGTCCAAATCTGACTTCGTATGAGGAAGTTATGATTTTTCTAAGTTTCGGAATAGCAGTAGATAGCTAAAAACTCGAAATAAAGATCAAGCGATATTTATCCGAAACAATCTAAATGAGAATAGAAGGTCTCGTCAATAGTAGTGCAACGGTAAAAAAGACAGACGAAAATGGACATCGGATGAAGAAGTTATGAATTTTTAACGGACTTTTCATATCCCGGCCTGTTAAAAATATAATAATAATAATGAATTCAAAATTAGCCGACGGAGTCTAAACGAAAGTTGTAGAGCATAATTTCACCTACGCGTGGATAAAAAGAACATCAAAAACGGAGCTCGTATGCGAAAGATATGGATTTTTGAAGTTCGGGGCACAAACTTCGAGACCTTCACGAGGTGAACATTGAAATTCACGAGGTGAATTCGTTGCATGACACCTTTCGAGCCTAGAAGATACACGGAAAGCCTAGGAGATGATCAAGATTGAATTCACGAGGTGAACATACTTGGTTCACGAGGTGAATCTCAAATTTTCACCCTATAAATAGATGCGAAGGCAGCCGTATTTTGGTTACATTTTTCTCATTTCTCTCACTCTAAAACACTCCTTTAGCCCACTTTTAACCCCCGAAGTCCCGGTATCATCCCCGACAACCAAAGCAAGTCCCGACGCCCCGAAGTTCCCGAGAAAATCATATTTTCAAGTCGAAACTCTGCCCGAGTAAGGCCCGGTTTTCAACTAAAATCCCCGGTTTCGTCACAAGAAAGTCATATTTAGAGTCGAAGTACTGCCCAAATTAATACCTTAACCCTCGGTTATTTCACGGTGAGTTTAATATATAGGAACAATTGTATGTTATGTGTTATATGTGTTATATGCTTTCCTGAGTTATTTTGGTTTTTATATATACTCTTGATCATGTAGAGCATGTCTCGTATCACTTCTGGTATTGGCTTTGAGCCTCTGGCCATGTAGAGCATGTCTCGTATTATTCTGGTATCGGATTTATGCCTTTGGCCATGTAGAGCATGTCTCGTATCACTTCTGGTATTGGCTTTGTGCCTTTGGCCATGTAGAGCATGACTCATATAACTTCTGGTATTGGTATAGGGCTATGTAGGGCTGAAAGCCTGTATATTCTAGCAAAATTATAATAAAAAATTGTATGTTTTCTGTGCCATTTGGGCCGAAGTGTTATTGATGTATATCAAGTATTGAAATTGTTATGTCTCGTTGATTGTATATCTTTGAATCAAATCATCGATTGATATGGAAAGTTTGTCGCATGATTTACATATGTCTTTGTTGTTCCTTGTTCCTCTTTGCTTCTGCCATATTGAAGTATATATATGGCATAACGTTATATTGTATCTATTATTGAACTCACTAAGCGACACCGCTTAGCCCTCTCAATTTTTAACAATTGCAGGAGATAAGTAACCAGTATAGTCATATACTGTTGGAAGGTTTAGAATAGTTATAATATTACGTTTGTATTTAGGGATCATGTAAGTATAAAAGTATAGTATCCTGCGTAGTTGTGTAATATACTTAAAACTTAGTCGGTTTGTATCCAGTCGTTTGTAATCAAACTATTAATGTAAAATATTGTTTATAAATATGCAAGTAACATGTTTGGAGTAACAATTGTCAAGTATGAAAGTGTGGGTCTTTCATCATACTAGCATATAACCATCCTATCTACCAGGATAACGAACTAACATATCACAACAGTAATAATCCCAATAACAAAACAAAGGGCCGACCTTGGTGCCTTAGACCCTTGAGTACAGTGAGGATGACTCACCTGGCACCGCTGAAGTCCCGCAGATAAAACTCCAGCTGCTGGTTGACAGATCCCCGAACTGTCAACATCAAACAATCCCCAATTAATAATTGAGTTCCAAGCCCAAGGTCCAACTCACACTATAAAAGCCCAGAAGTCATATAATGGGCCAAAGCCCAACATATGGCCCAACTTTCCAGATTGGGCCCAGACCTCTACATGGTCTTTCCTTAAGGCCCATCCAATTCCCATGGCCCAATATCACATAATCATAAAGACCCAAGTATGGCCCAATTTTCCAAATTGGGCTCAACCCCTCATATGGGCCTTATCCTAAAGCCCATCCAATTACTTTAAGTCCATTTACTTGTTCTTAGATAGCCCAACAATAGCTTAATCACCAAGGCCCAAAAGAAAGGCCCAACTCAAGGCCCATGTGAAATTAGGGTTTTCACATGAAATGACGATTAGGGTTAAGTGTTCCTACTTAACCCATGAAGGACTTAATCCATTAAGTCCAATATTGCTTAGGTTAATTTGCAATTGATCATTAATTAATTTTTTAAGTTTATTAAATAATTCCCGTGTGTGTCCCGATCGATTCCCACAAATTAGGGTTTTATGTCATTAGGGTTTTCCAAACCCTAATTAGGTTTTTCCAACCCAATACTAACCCATTAGTCCATTGGTTGGGCTTTTAGGTCACTTTGGGCCTTATTGGGCCCATTAGGGTCTCTTTAGGCCCACTAGGGTTTCATTGGGCCTACTTCTGTCCAAGCATTCCCAAACGAGTCCAAAATACAAACAGAGCACACCGCCACCCAACACGGCGGCTGGTGGCGGCAGGAGGCAGCAGCCACCACCCTACGGGTGGTGGTTTGAGTTTTCCTTTTCATTATTCCATTTTTGTTACAATTTACAACGATATCCTAATAACACGCACACTAAGCTACACACACGCAACAATAAAATTACATACACACACAACCACCTTCCATGGTGGTTGGTGGCGACGAAAACAAGGCAGCAAGCGGCGGCAACCTACACCTGGCTTGCTAGATGCGAACAAAGCCACCCAAAATGGTGGCATCCGGCGGTTGGTATTTGCGTTTCACAGCCCCACTGGTCGCTTGAAACAACACGGCGACAGTAGCTTTGCTCGTTCACAATCATGGTGGTTGGCTTCGGATCTCCAAGGTTGAACGACGACGGCGGCAACTTGCAACAGTGGAGTGGGTTGGCGGACGGTGACTGGGACCGGACGTCCTGCTGGCGAAGCAGCGGCGCTAGTGGCGGCGATCGATCTCGACAAGGCGGCGAGGTGTCGACTGACACCGGCGATCAATGGAACAGTGACGTTTGTGGCCCACCTCTTCACTACGTTCTAAAGCTATCCCAACATGGGGAAGGACGGAGGTCGACGGCGGTTGACGATGACGATACCAGGTCGGCAGCGGAGCTGATCCATGGTGAGGGTGGCAGCTGGGAAGGGGAGGTATAAGGGTGGTGCGGCTGAGTTCTAGGGTTAGGGTTAGACGGGTAATGAAATATATATACCCGGTTCCATGCCAACTTATGGAGAAAATAACAGAACTGGTCCCTCCCATTCCAATCTTTTCAAACAAAGTCCAATAATTACCATTTAAACCCTGGCTCCTTAAAATCCTTTCAACTTTGATCCAGTATTTACCAAATAACCCCCATCTCTCATAATTCATTACAATTTAGGTACAATATTTACCAAACACACCCTAACCTCTGAAATCCTTTTCAAACAAATCCTGAAATTACACTTTAACCCCCGAGACTCTAAATCGTGACATTTGGCTTCCCGAAACCAACATCCCTCTAATTATTATTTGATATTGGCTATAACAACATAACATAATAATAAAATTACTTCTTGGGGTCCCGGGTTTATTATTTTAATTATTCTATTTAAACGGGATGTTACAACTCTCCCCCACCAAAATTTGATTTCGTCCTCGAAATCGTTTCTTAACATTCCTTAGGCGCCAGACAACTGGAACTTACATGGCCACCACTACAAGCACACCCCTAGCCTTTCCAAGGCAACCGTATCCAACCCTCGCAGGGTTTCAAAACTTGAAGATAAACGAATTCCTTGTAATATGATCACATCTACTCAATCCAGAATTTGAAGTCTCGAGATGGAATTTATTGCACTTAACTCCAAACTGGCTACTTAACTGCTAATAACCTGGGGTTCCCACCCGAAAACAAAATCACAAATCCCACACTGCTACCTGTAATTCTCTTCTTGACAAGAGATAAGGTACTCCTTCAAGAGAAGCCCGTTTGATAACCAACTCCTAGGGATATAATGAACAACGAGATGTAAACTGGGAGATGAACCCTTTTAGGATCAACAAATATAATGTCTCCTTTAACTCCCGAACCACATACATATAATAACCGGCTCACAAGAACAAACACTCATACCTGGCCCAATCAGCCTCGGGCTGGAATACCAGGCATGCCTATGACGGGTCCAGTCATCCTCAGGATGGAATACCCTCGATCAGAATACCACTATATACGAAAATCGGGTCTAAACTCGTAACTTCTGATTCCTCACAGCCGATTACGGCTCGCCCAAACTTCAACAATGTGTCCATTTCGAAAGCGCTCCAACAGAAGAATTGAACTACTAAGATCACTAGGCCCACAGCCTATGACTGGAATTCCCCTACAAGGTCCTCAGCATAGGTCTGGATTGCCTCTGAGCCCATAGCATGAGTCTGGTATGCCCCACCTGGCCCTCAGCTCATGAATGGAATGCTCCTGGTAAACTATCAACCTTGTCCAAAAGAAAAGGCCTGACCAACGTCCTTCGCAACACCAACCAAAGCCACGATGCTGAAACCCCACCATGCACGATTCACTTATATAATAAGTTGTTATCCAAGAAACTCCTACAAACCATGGTCGCACATGACCCTAACTCCATACTTACTCACCACAAAGTCCATACTTGACCGAGACTGGTCTGATTCTACTAATACCGAACTAGCCCGAGAAGACTTCCACGATTATCCCGAAGGTTACCAAAATCCGAGTTCGATACGAATCAAAATTCTATTCCATCATCGAGGGGAAACATACCCCAAAGACTTAGGAAACATAAACACACTGCATAAGGGGAATTGGTGACACGCTCGTAGCTTCTCAATTGTCGTCTCTTGAATTCCTTCGGAGAATTCCCGCTCCCAGAGAGGTTCACCATTTAATGCCTGTCCAACCATTCTGGAAACCATAATCTGATCAGCAACAACAAAACCTTCAATGGATGACGCTCAATCTGAGAATTCCCAATTCTGCTATCAAGCACCGAGACGACGTGATTCACCTTCTGGGGAGTTTTACCGAACTCCCACTCATACAACCCTCAACCAAACAGCCACTTGGGTTGTCTTCCTTCCTGACAATGATGCGAAACTTATCCCATTTTCAAAACCACTCCTGCTTCTGAATCCCGGGATAATTCTCTCCCACTTAGATTCGACTAAGTCTTCAAAACACATGAAAATTGGATAATTCCCAGTTCTTCTCATTTTCCAATGATCGATCCGATGACAACCAACTCCTTTCAACTAATGCTCCATTACTAGCCAATCACAAGTGATCACACACTTCTAAGAACTAGCTGAACACTTCCTGAATCCCATTGATACCGACAGTCCCTAATACTTGAATGATCCCCCACTCAAATCCTGAAGTCCAAAAAGGTATATGCTCCAACTGACATCTCAGCAACGAGTTACTTCCCTTGGCGCTTTCCTCCGCTAATCAATAGCGGTTACTGAACTACTGTATCCTGACAACGCTGAATAACCATCCTGTGGGACCCTGTCAGCAGACCTCCCACATTATACCCTTCTTGCTAAAGTGCTGCAACAAATCTCCTGCCCTCTGCTCTAGAATTAACATCATTTAGGGTCTCGCGCCCTGACTTACTCACCAGCTCGATCATCCACGGCTGAACTGCAGTAGCTGAAGCAACCTATGCCCTATACCGGGCTACAAACTACTCCCAAGACAGTCTCCAATCCCAGAAGTGCAATAGATTGTACAATTAATCCTTATCGCCCGATTCAGGAGATCCAAGGCGAACCGGACCTCACAAACTACTTATGCCACATCGCCCCACATGCGCTCACCAGCGATGAGATACTGTCGCCAACCCCTACAACTAAACTAACCTTGAGCTGGAATACAACGTGATCCTGGGGTCACAAGCCTACTCACTCCTCGGAGCTCGAAAAACTGGAAGGGCATAATCCTTGCCCTAGAAAACGACATTCCAATCCATCTATTATCCATTCTACTTCCAGCTACAAAACTCTAACTGATCATAATCATCACTCCCTTCTGGAGCCCCTGCAACTTGAATCCCGTCCTCGAACAATACTCCCGAAGCCTCAAATCAGGAAACTCATATACCAACTTCTCCGACTCAACCCACAGAGTGCAACGAGTATGGAAAATTTCCCTGATCCTAAGCAACTGCAGCTATCTGCTCATCAGAATACGTCCCAATAACAAGTCCCGGTACTGGAAAGCTCGACCAGCTCCTCCCCCTGCCGCCGTTACAGCTGTTGTAGCTGTCGCGGCAACCGTCTCGACAATGGCTGCGTAGCGCTCATCGAAATACTTCAACCATGGCGGTCTTGATAGACCCAAACATCTCTGGCAACTGTCCCCGAACAACCTCGATCACCTCCTCCCGGATGATCTCACTAACACGATCATCTGACAATACTGGCCTATCCTGGCTGTCAGCTCCCGATCCTGCCCCGGATCCGTCTCAAGACGTCTCGTAACCTCCATTCTGATAATACACCAGAGAGATCTCAAATAATCCACACACTATCAGGGAACCAACTTCCAACCAAACCCTAGGGATTGTGACTTCCTTGACACGCGTATGGGTCCTGTGCTTTTAGTAGTACGGGTACATACTACCTTCCACACCTACCCATATTTGTCTCAAGTATCATCACAACACCCTAACAATACGCATACGCATGGCGATCGCTCAATCCTCACTCCTAGAGGAAAGCTAAGTATCTCATAACTGGTCTACTGACCCCGCGTAACTCAACCATCCATGAAACTTTCACCAACCCTGCAGCACTCGTGTATGCTAACCATACATAACACTGGACCCTATAGACTTTTGAATACCTGATCCTACCCTAAGCCCTTCATCAAACAAGAACAGGAAATAAGGCCAAACCAAACATTCTCAGGCTATAAGATCTTAATTATGTACGTCCGTGATACATACACTAAGCAACTACAGTAATGATGTCAATTTCATATAAAGAAAACCCTAGGCTACCATGCATCATATAATCAGGCAATTCTATCATGCAATTCCTGAAGATCCTTAGCCTAGTACTAGCATGATGTTCTAAAATATCACAATGTCAATAACTGTATGGTATTTTGGGGTCTAGTTACTAGCTCCGGCTGATCGTACACTCTGCATCCTCCTTTGATATTTTAAAAACCATTTTTTTAAAAATCATTTTGAAAATCCTTTCCTTGATTTGAGACTGGATTCACACGAGTATTCCTCCAATTCACTCAAACCAAGGCTCTGATACCAACTTGTAACACCCATAAAAATCATGTCAAATTTAAACTTTTTAAAAACATTTTAAATCTATTAACCATTACAAAACTTGTTTTCAAAATGTATCATATCAGAGTATCCCAGAAACAAAGACATAAAAAGTGAGGAGTTGTACGATCACGCCTTTGCCTTGCCACGATCCCCTGATGTACCTGAAAGAATAAGCTGAAATTGTAAGCCCGAAAGCTTACTGAGTTCCCCCAAAATACCCATACCCACAATAATACATATATAATCAAAAATAACATACTATGGGTCCAATCATCCATCGGGATGGAATACCCCAGGCCCTCAACCATTGGGTTGGAATGCCAACGTACATATACACTTCACATAACACATATACAACTACAACATGTACTGGGTCCACAACTTTACAGACTGGATTACCCCCTGGGCCTACAGTGTGAGTCTGGATTGCCTTCCGGGCCCACAGCTCACATCTGGATTGCCATCGAGCCCACAGTACGAGTCTCCCTCAGCTCGTATCTGGAATGCTCCCAGGTTTGTTGGTTACCGCACGGAGTAGTTTCACCTCAATCCATCCCACATAATAAGTCGACATATAACACAACTACTGCACATACAGATAATCACATAATACTACAGGTAATCCTACAGATCTACCTAACTGGCAGAACAACTAGCATGCAGACAGACAGACCAACTATAGATCACTAAGCATAACCACATCTGATCTACCATGATACTGATCTAACAGATCATACTAGCATATAACCATCCTATCTACCAGGATATCGAACTAACATATCACAAGAGTAATAATCCCAATAACAAAACAAAGGGTCGGCCTTGGTGCCTTAGACCCTTGAGTACAG